AAATATATTTTCAAATCTCTCTTATCCTTCATAGCCCCATTTGGAGTCAAATCACAATTGGCACCTTCCCCAGTTACCCCAGCATATTCTGCTGTCTGTCTCCTCTACATTCCCCCGCTGTTATCTTATTTAGCATTCAGCTCCTACTTACACATCAACAGTACTGTTAAGCATGACCAGACCCCAGAGAGAAGCAAGCTCTTCAAGGCGATGGGTCATGTCCCATAGAGCTGTTAATTATCGAGAAAATTAAACTGTAGTAGTGGCTGTCTGTAACAGCTTAGCAACAGGCATGAGTAGTCACTTTCTTGTCACCGGGACACAATACTTAATACCCACAATGCTCGGGAGGACAGGTTTATTTGGGCTCATGGGTTTTGGAGTCCATGGTTGACTGATTCCAAGGCAGAAAGAATATAGTGGTGGAGGCTGGTTGGGGGGAGCTGCTCACAGCACAGTGGCTGGGAAGAGAGAATTGGGGAGCATGGGGGAGAGGAACCTGGCCAGGCCATGTCTCAGGGGCCGCCTCTTCCAACCTGGCCAGAGCCCACCTCCTAGAAGCAAGTCAGCTCTATCTCTAAAGTTCACAATTGTGTCGCTGTGCAAAAGCCCTGCCTATGAGTGCACAATCTAAACCACAACTCTGGGGGACACACACTCTAAACCATAACAAGGTGCACTAAGCTACGAGAAAAGACAGCTTTAGCACAGCTCTCATACAAAGCTGGCTCATTTGGAAGGCGCCAGAGAATACCCTGAGAGTCTCAGCTAAGTCATCGGCTGTGCTCACCCCAAAGTGTAAGTGCTGAGAAATGAGGCAGATGGCAATAATCACCCACAAAGAATTTACTGGGCTCTCAAGGGGGTAAAACTTTACTCAAGTGATTAAAAAACAAGTAACACTACAACACGCCGAGTGCCCGGCTACTCCAGTTTAGCATGATTCCTAGAGGACCAAGGGGGAGACAAGAAGGTAGGATTGGTGGGGATAATAACAAAGCAAAATTATGAATTACTGGTCCTTTAATTCCATTTTTTCTTATTCTCCTTGTTTTCTTTCAGAAGCAAGGATTGAACTCAGGCCCTTGTGTGAAAAGTGCTTATTCCACTGAGCCATATCCCTGGCCCCAGGGATGGAGCTCTGATTTGTAAATAAGATACGGGTTTTATGAAGAAGTCTGGGGAAGGGGGTGGGCAGGGAGGAACATGATATTGTCAGAACAGAGAGGAAGAGGGGCTGAAAGTGGATGCAGACAACTTCTTTAAAGGTTAGTATAAGGAAACAATGATGAAGGGTATCAGTGCACTGGGGTCAGAGTGGTTCCAGGAAAATTTTGAAACAGTTGTATGGAGCCAGCCGATGGTCCCTGATTAAATTTAGGAGCTGAATGTCAGGAAACTTGAATTTCGGGAAGCTTGCTGTGTCCAGGTTTTGCATTTCACACAGACTGTCTCTTGTGGAACTCACAACTACTTTCTGGGGCTTAGGTGGTCCCAGTTTCCATACCAGCAATACGAACTCTAAGCCCAAGGACCAGGATTTTGAAATACACACTCAAGTCCTGGTGTAGGTGCCTTGGAATAAGCCCTCCTTGCTCTTTTATTAGTAGTTTTATAAACTGTGCTAGAAAACCATAAAAAAAAAACCCTAAGAGTTTCCATGATAATGCTAACATTCTTGTCCTTCAGCTGTCTCTGTGGAGCTTTAGTTTGCTCACCTATTTCTATTCAGTCCACTCATGGGTGCTAGGTAGTTTGGTTCATCACTCACAATAATCCTTCAACCATATCTATAAAATGCCAGGAAGATTTCCTTAGCCCCATTCTCAGGGAAATACAGCATACATCATAGGAATAACAAAAAAAATAAGCAAGGAAGAGAAGAAGCTTAATTTGAATTATGACTCAAAGTCTCAACCATTCACCCAGAAGAATGGCCTCGAGAGCATATACTCCTGCTGCAGACCAGCAGTAACTTGCATCCCTATAAACCAGGGGTCCCTGACCCCAGGCTGAGGAGCAGTATGGGTTGGTGTGGTCCTTGTCCTATAAAGGACTGGGCTGCATAGCAGGCAAGTGAGTGGTGGGTGAGCGGCCCAAGCTTCACCTGTGTTTACAGCCACTCCCATTGCTCACATCACTGCCTCAGCTCCACCTATCAGGTCACTGGGCATGAGATTCTCATAGGAGCACAAACCCTACTGGGAATTGTGCGTGGGAAGCATCTAGGCTGTGCCATCCTTATAAGAATCCAATCCTGGGACCAGGGAAATAGCTCAGTGGTATAAGCATCTGCCAGGCAAGTGCAAGGACCTAAGTTCAATTCCTAACACCAAAAATCTTTTTCAAAAGAATTACATCTTGAAACTATTCATAAAACCCCCTCCCCAGTGAGAAAGTCTTCCATAAAATCAGTCCCTGGTGCCAAAAAGGTTGCAGATCACTGGTCTAAAAACTATCAAAAATCTAGAAATCCCTTCTAACTTAATTGCTACAAGGA